TACCTGATTTTTGGTTACCTGCCAGACCTGCCCAACCGGACCAGCCCCGGGAGAGACCGTCCGCATTCCCGTGATTGGCCCCGGCCCGATGTTGTACCTGGAAGCAGAAGTCCTAGAGTGCGAGGAACCACCGTGTCACCCGGGCGTTTGTGTCCTTCGCCCTGGACATCCATTGTAGGGGTGCATGGGTGGTGAGGGAGTGTGAACCGGCAGCCCCAAAGGTAGTATTTTAAACTCCAGGACTGCCCACTTTATAGCCAGGGAGGCGTACCTGGTCTCTGCGGGGGAGAGTTTCCCGCTGATGTAGACTATGGGGTGTTCCTCTCCATCCCGGAGCTGGGAGAGGACTGCCCCTAAACCGGTGCCGGAGGCGTCCGTGTATAGGGTGAAAGGGCAGCCGAAGTCGGGGGCATGCAGGACCGGGGAGGACGTCAGGGTCGTCTTGAGGGCTTGGAAGGCGGCTTCGGTCTCGGGAGTCCAGTCTCTCCTCTCCGGCTGCCCCTTCCTGGTAAGGTCTGACAGGGAGCAGGCTATAGAGGAGAAGTTAGGGATGAAACACCGGTAGTAGCCCGCCGGAGCTCCGTCAACACCCTCCGTAGACGCTCCAGGTGAGTCTCCCAGCCCTCCGAGTGGATAACGACATCATCCAGGTAAGCCGCGGCGTAGGCTTGGTGGGGCCGGAGCAAGATGTCCATCAACCGCTGGAACGTGGCTGGTGCCCCGTGTAGGCCGAAGGGTAGCACCCGGTAATGCCAGTGGCCAGTGGCCATTGGGAGTGCTAAAGGCTGTCTTCTCCCGGGACTCCGGGGAGAGGGGCACCTGCCAATATCCTTTGGTGAGGTCCAAGGTGCTGATGTATCGAGCCTTGCCCAGCTGGTCCAAGAGCTCATCCACCCGCGGCATGGGATAGCCGTCAAAGGTGGAAACTTGATTGACCTTCCTGAAGTCGTTACAGAACTGGAGGATGTTGTCCGGCTTTGGAACCATCACGATGGGGCTGGCCCACGGGCTACGGGAGGGCTCGATGATTCCTAGTTGGAGCATCTTCTTGACTTCCTCCTCTATTGCCGGCCAGCGAGCTTCCGGTATCCGGTAGGGCCGCTGCCGGACTACGACTCCTGGTGGTGTGAGGACCTCGTGTTCGATGACGGTGGTTCTACCCGGGGTCTCACTGAACACATCCTGGAACTGACTGACCAGGGCCTCGAGCTCCGCTTTCTGGGTCGCCGATAGCTGCGGTTCCATGTCCACTACTGGGGGCCCGGTATGGGCTAGCGCGGCGAGTTGCTCGGGCCGGGGAACCCACTTCTTGAGCAAGTTGATGTGGTAGATTTGCTCCGTCCGTCGGCGGCCCGGTTGGTCACCGGTCCCATCCGTTCCACTACGGTGTAGGGCCCCTGCCAGGTCGCTAGAAACTTGCACGCAGCTGTTGGGACCAGTACCACCATTCGATCGCCCGGCTGGAACTCCCGGTCACGAGATGTTCCTTAACCAGCGGCATGACCCGGTCAATCCTTTCTCTCATCTCTCGCACGTGCTCGACGAGGCTACGAAGGGGGGCGGCAATTTTCTTGGCGTTGGCCGCTCGAAGTGGAATGGCTTCCGGGTACCGGGTGGCATAGTCCAGGATAACCAGGATGTGCTCATGTCCCCAGACAGACTTCGGCAGCGGTCCCACCAGATCCATCCCGATCTGCTTGAAGGGCACATCGATGACGGGTAGTAGAATGAGCAGGCTGGGGGGAGGACGGCACGGAGACGTCTGCTGGCAGGTGGGACAGCTATGGCAGAACCGTTTCACTTCCGCCTCTAGTCCGGGCCAGTGAAAACGGTCCCGGATGCGTTGGATGGTATTGTCGGCTCCTAGGTGTCCCGCCTTTGGGTGGCCGTGTGCCAGCTCCATGACCATTTCCGTCTTGGTGGTAGGCATGACTGGGGCCGGGGGGTTCCTCATCCGCCAAGTCGGGGACCGCCGGTCTGCTGCCTGGTCGCGGTGCACCTTCGAGGGGACGCCGCTCCATCACCCTGCAGGGGCGCCAGGCCCGCTCTCTCCCCTGCCTCGCGGGCGTTCGTTGCCGCCGCCAGCTCGACCGCCTCTACCAGGCTGTGGATGCTCTGGGGATTTCGCATACTGACCGGGCGCCTCAGCGGGCGGGGCAGTGCCCGTAGCAGCCGATCGATGAGCACTTTCTCGGCTACCTGGTCCGGGGTCAGGGACCCCGCAAGAAGCCACAGGTGACATTCTCCACCATATGTCGCGGGGTGAATGAGAACACTGACTCGGTACTGATCGAAAGAGCCCTGGAGGGTGATTTATTGCCCACACACTGATCACACGTGCTCTGATGAATGGTGCTCAGTGCCCGTCTCAGCGTGGTGCTCGTGGGGTGAAGTGCCGTGGTGCAGATCCCTCTCCCAGGGTGCCTTCGGAGTCTGTGAACAAGGAGAAACAAGCATTAATGTCACCTGGAGCTCCGGGGTCCCTTCCCACTGGTGTTTCTTCTCCTGGCTTTTATGGCCAGCGGGAATGAGCTCCAGGTGCGCCACTCATCACGCACAGGTGTTGTGCGTCGGTGATCAGTGTGGCAGCGGCGTTTCCAGGGCGACGCTAATCTGGACTCGGGATACTCGCCACAATATATGTGTGTGTGGGTGTGTGTGGATAATGGGAATGTTTATAATATTCTAATATTATTCAAAATTTCAAATGTAACAATGTCAAATTTGTCTGTGATGTGCTTTTACAACAATACCACATAAATAAATAAATATCTGTGCATTTTGATTTGGAAACAGAAATATTTGTGATTCACAAAAGCTTGACATGCAGACTTTTTTGCTCTTATCGTTAATAAAAAACAACGGAAAAATATAAGGACGTTTTGAAAGTTTTTCTGCATAGTCCAACAAACACTTTTTTCCAAAGATAAAGGAAAAACTGATTTCTCATAATGCCTTAAAACTGCAGAACTAAAGGTCAATTTATTGTTGATGTTGCCTGTATTTAATTTAGTTTAAAAAGTGATCAAGAGCATATGAATGTTTATTTTAAGCTTTTTATTGAGACACAGAATATCCACAATAATTTTTCATTACAATATTTGTCGGCAAATTAAACTAACATTCAAACTAACACCAAGTAAGTAGACTGTTATGTCAGTTGCCATTTTTTAAGCTTGTGAAATTTTCGGTCTAGAGGCTACCTGCTATTCATTTTCATTCTGGAGGATGCATGAAAATGAAGGAAATCTAATACTCCTCTCCCTCCTCTTCTCCTTCTCCCTCGACTGAATCTACACCCACCTCCTCATAATCTTTCTCCAGGGCTGCCATGTCTTCTCGAGCCTCAGAGAACTCGCCCTCCTCCATACCTTCACCTACGTACCAGTGCACAAAGGCACGCTTAGCGTACATCAGATCGAACTTATGATCAAGTCTGGCCCAAGCCTCCGCGATAGCAGTGGTGTTGCTTAGCATGCACACCGCTCGCTGCACCTTGGCCAAATCACCACCAGGTACAACGGTAGGGGGCTGGTAGTTTATACCAACCTTGAAACCAGTTGGACACCAGTCCACAAATTGAATGCTGCGCTTGGTCTTTATGGTGGCAATAGCAGCATTTACATCTTTAGGTACAACATCACCACGGTACAACAGGCAGCAAGCCATGTACTTGCCGTGACGTGGGTCACATTTGACCATCTGATTAGATGGCTCAAAGCAAGCATTAGTGATCTCAGACACTGAGAGCTGCTCATGGTAAGCTTTCTCAGCAGAGATCACAGGAGCATAAGTTGCTAAAGGAAAATGGATACGTGGATATGGCACCAAGTTGGTCTGAAACTCAGTTAAGTCAACATTCAGGGCGCCGTCAAATCTCAGGGAGGCAGTAATGGAGGACACAATCTGACCTATCAGCCTATTAAGGTTGGTGTAGCTGGGACGCTCGATATCAAGGTTTCTACGGCAGATATTATGACTGTGAAAGAGGGCTTGAACTGACTGACTCAATGACATAGCGGTTTTATTTCATTTTTAAAGCAAGCTAATGACTATTTCAAATGATCCCCAGAGATTATTCAGAAATCAACGGCATGCATAAAAACCTGAATGAAACAAGTGTTCTGATGCAATGAAATGAGCAGTCTATATATTCACATACATGAAGTAGGTCACATCTTGACGCTGTCTGTCACTCTATAAAAGCGGTGCCACTCGAGGATTTCGCGCAGTTACTACATCGACTCTTCGCCGTCGAGAACAGTAACGCAGTAGAGCAAACTATTGTTTCCAGATCACTCCAAAGTATACGAAAATGGTGAGTAGCTGACTCGTTGTATTATTAGATTTTTTTGGCTATACTATTCAAATGAAAGCATACGTGTAATAAAATGATTTAAGCAAGAATTGTGTCATTATGAAGAAATCATATGCTAACCCTGTTGAAAAAACCAGCATATGCTGGTTAGGTATGTTTTGACGCTGGGATGCTGGTTTAAGATGGTCCTTTGCTGGTTTAAACTGGTCCTTTGCTGGTTTATGCTGGTCCTTTGCTGGTTTATGCTGGTCCTTTTGCTGGTTTATGCTGGTCCTTTTGCTGGTTTATGCTGGTCATGTGCTGGCAAAGGACCAGCATAAACCAGCAGAGGACCAGTTTAAACCAGCAAAGGACTAGCATAAACCAACAAAGGACCAGCTTAAACCAGCATCCCAGCGTCAAAACATACCTAACCAGCATATGCTGTTTTTTTCAACAGGGAAATCTAAGCATATAGGCTACTAAATGTTGTGTACATAATAATTATTAAATAGAAGTCTAGTGGCTATATCTAGTGATGAGGCAGGTTACAGGGTCTGCGGAACACTACACCTGTCATCGTTTTAATAAACGACATCTGCTCGATATATTCCTGCTGAAGATTCTGGTGAATATGTTTGACTCTCTGCTATTTTGTATCGGGATGTGTGACCACTTTTCGACTTGCACAGTATGTACATTCGTATCTTATAGTAATGAAGTCAAAATTATATCAGTTTTAACTAACTATTATATAATAAAACCAGTGGTGGACGAAGTACACAAATCAAGAGTAAAAGTACAGATACGTATAGTAAAATATTACTCCAGTAAAAGTAAAAGTACTCCTTTTTCAATTTTACTCGAGTGAAAGTACAAAAGTATTCGATTTTTTACTTAAGTAAAAAAGTACTGATAGATTTATTTTGCAATTTTATATAGGCTACTTATTTAAATTTTATATTAGCACATATTTTTTATAATCCTACTGCTCAAAATACCTGGGATTTTCCCAAAACAACGACGATATGGAGTCAAGATATATTTTTGTTGTTGATATGGACTACGTTGACGAGAGTGATGTAGTAATGTTCACTGTGAAGCTTACACTGCGATGTACCTGAGAGAAAACAGATGTGACCATCTGATATTCACCAGTAAGAAAAAAGTGTTTTAAAGCTTGTTGTTTTGCAGAACATCACAGTTATATATGACATGAGAATAAGGCCTGAAGTTAGGAAGAACATTTTAAGGAAAATATAATTATATTTTCATAATGATTTTTTTTCTTCTCAAACCTTGTCTGTGGTGTTCATTTTCAGTTACAATAATTAATCCTAAAATTCGACATTAGTAACTTACTTTTAGCAGCATCAGTCGCGCGCGGTTCTTACTTGTGAATTCAGTTCACTGGAGACTCGCACTAAACGGTTCATTTGAATCAGTGAGTTGTCGACTCGAGAACAGCTGCAATCGGTTCATTCTAATTCGTCAATTAATCGTTTGGTGCGATTTGCGAAGCGATTTAAAAGGTTCACGAATCAGTTCGTTCTTGAATCAGACACCGTTTCTGCGTCTCGGAGCACGTGATATATTATAAGGAGTAACGATATGTTTTATGAAATGTAGTGAAGTAAAAAGTACGATCTTATGCTTTGGAATGTAGTGAAGTAAAAGTAAAAGTTACTCAAAATAAAACGACTCCAGTAAAGTACAGATACTTGAAAAATTTACTTAAGTACAGTAACGAAGTAATGCTACTCCGTTACTGTCCACCACTGAATAAAACTGTTGCTTTTCTTCTTTGCAACAGCGTGAGTGTATTTCCATTCATGTGGGTCAAGCTGGCGTCCAGATTGGCAATGCCTGCTGGGAACTTTACTGCCTTGAGCATGGGATTCAGCCGGATGGACAGATGCCCAGTGATAAGACCATTGGTGGAGGGGATGACTCCTTCAACACTTTTTTCAGTGAGACAGGAGCTGGCAAGCATGTTCCCAGGGCCGTGTTTGTAGATCTGGAACCCACTGTGATTGGTTAGTAATTGCCTGATTACCAGTCTCTTATGGTTAGTCCACGAGCTTCACAGCTTTCATTCTCTCCACACTCTTCAGATGAGGTTCGCACCGGAACTTACCGTCAGCTTTTCCACCCTGAGCAACTGATCACCGGAAAGGAGGATGCAGCTAACAACTACGCTCGTGGCCATTACACTATTGGCAAAGAGATCATTGATCTGGTTCTTGACAGGATTCGCAAACTGGTAAGACATCCTTGTAATCACAGTCAGCCTGTTTTCATTCAGCAATTTATGTTTTAACTTAAATACAATTTAATTACCGTTTCTTTCCATTGCCCTCTTCATAGGCTGACCAGTGCACTGGACTTCAGGGCTTCTTGGTGTTCCACAGCTTTGGGGGAGGAACTGGTTCTGGCTTCACCTCTTTACTGATGGAGCGACTTTCTGTTGATTATGGAAAGAAATCTAAGCTTGAGTTTTCCATCTACCCAGCTCCACAGGTGTCTACTGCTGTGGTGGAGCCCTACAACTCCATTCTTACCACCCACACCACCCTTGAGCACTCAGATTGTGCTTTCATGGTTGACAATGAGGCCATCTATGACATCTGCCGTAGAAACCTTGATATCGAGCGTCCCAGCTACACCAACCTTAATAGGCTGATTAGCCAGATTGTGTCCTCCATTACTGCCTCCCTGAGATTTGACGGTGCCCTGAATGTTGACTTAACTGAGTTTCAGACCAACTTGGTGCCATATCCACGTATCCATTTTCCTTTAGCAACTTATGCTCCTGTGATCTCTGCTGAGAAAGCTTACCATGAGCAGCTCTCAGTGTCTGAGATCACTAATGCTTGCTTTGAGCCATCTAATCAGATGGTCAAATGTGACCCACGTCACGGCAAGTACATGGCTTGCTGCCTGTTGTACCGTGGTGATGTTGTACCTAAAGATGTAAATGCTGCTATTGCCACCATAAAGACCAAGCGCAGCATTCAGTTTGTGGACTGGTGTCCAACTGGTTTCAAGGTTGGTATCAACTACCAACCCCCTACCGTTGTACCTGGTGGTGATTTGGCCAAGGTGCAGCGAGCGGTGTGCATGCTAAGCAACACCACTGCTATCGCGGAGGCTTGGGCCAGACTTGATCATAAGTTCGATCTGATGTACGCTAAGCGTGCCTTTGTGCACTGGTACGTAGGTGAAGGTATGGAGGAGGGCGAGTTCTCTGAGGCTCGAGAAGACATGGCAGCCCTGGAGAAAGATTATGAGGAGGTGGGTGTAGATTCAGTCGAGGGAGAAGGAGAAGAGGAGGGTGAGGAGTATTAAGTTATTTTCTCCTTTCCAAGTCAGTTATTGCTTTGCATCATTAATCAGTTATAGTCAGAAATGTAAATTAAATTAGACTTTAAAGGTGACATATCAAGTCAGCATTCAGTTGTCTATTGCAATGTAAAGAATATGTGCAGTAAACATTTGTTTTTTTCATCATGTCAACCACATATTTGGTGCTGCAGTGAATTGAGATTGAGTCATATTTTCCTGTATTCCTCCAGTGGAATTCTACATTACATTACAGTGTGTAGATCAAATAAAATTATTCACTGACCTTACTGATGTCTGCAATGAATGGATCATTAAAAGACATGAGTTACAGATGCTTTTACTCAAACCCCATTAGAAAACATTCACAATTTTTAAATCGAAGTACTCCGATTTTCATTTCATTTTCAGGTATGGTAATATTAATTAAGCTCCTTACAGCAGCAAGTGTTTTTATCCAGCAGCCTTGTTCACGTTCAATATCAGATCTGCCCACTAGGAAAACTACTTCTACTGCTTCTAATGAGTGTTTATTTTGTCTTTCCTCCCAAATCACATACTACAGTTAAACATTTAACATGAAGTATAGCACATTCTGGAATTTGCTTAAAATCACAAAAGAAGATTAACAAAAATTATTTTCATACCTTTGAGTATTTACTAATAGTAGTTATTCACATAAAATATAAATCAGAGTCACATTACAAATTGCATTAAAAATTGCATAAATACCTATTACTGAATACTAAAATAACAATTAAATGGTTAAATCATTCAAATGTCATTTCACTACACTAAAATATTAAAAAAGTGGAACTGTAAAATGTAATATTGATCACATTCAATATGCCACTAAACTGGTACTTCAGAAAAGCTTACATTTGTAAATTGTTATAGTTTCTGAGGATTTAATAATTTTAATTGAAAATGTATATATTAAAAAATAAATATATACTGTATAAAATAAATTAAAGTTCTTAGACCTTATTAGTAGGCAGGTTATGTAACAATCAGTTGGCGTTAGTCAGTGGAAATGCAGGCCTTCATCATGTTGATGTTCAGAATATAATTTTGAACAGTGTAATATGGTATTAAACCAAGTGTTTATAAATGTCTTATGTTTATAAATGTCACTAGACTAAAAATGTCTTATGAGATTTCATGATAGAAATGAATGACAAATGATAACCTTTTTTGTTATAGTCAGTTTTGACCAAGTATTCTGGTGTTGAACACCTGCAAGTATCCATCAAGACATTTATTTTTGCTTGTTAAAATATAATTACCCAGTCTTACATAAAAAATGAAGTCCATTTCAAGCACTTCCAAGAACCCACAAGCTCAAACAGTTGCAAAGCCACAACCCAACCTGCACCCA